TGGCTGGACTGCCTTAGTGACCCTAAACAAAGAATAAACATCAAAATAGGCTAAAACACAAAACACTGGGTCGCACGACCCAGGACCATGACAGCAGCGGTCTTCTTTAATGGTAGAGTAGGATTTATGAAAGGTTTGAATCCAACTATTCTTGTGGGTACAGATCGTGTAGTTTAGGATAACAGAAACTGATACTTTGACCTGACAGGAAGCTGAATATGAAGATAAATTAGATGACAATTTATTTATGAAAATGTGGACCAAGCATTGCTGACATGTCCTTAAACAGGAAGCATAACCAATAATCTGGTTCATTAACCTGATTTTTACTGAAGAACAAAGTGTGATGTACTAATCTAGATTTTTTGTGTGTTAAACAAAATTTAACAATATCACAGCTGTCACATTTTGTAAGATATGCGATTGAGGTATCTGGTTTGCAGAGCAGTCTGTAAAATCAGGTCAGTGGGCATCCAGCTGGAGGATTGCTGCTTAACCTGCCATAGGCAGTAAAAACTGAACAATGTGCTGGGTGACTTCATTGTATTCCACGTACTGCACGCAAATTTTAGCTTTTTTGTCAATGGATCCTAATGTTTTTCACACAAGGAAACCATCCTTAGATAACAAGAGTAGGTTGGGCTGTGTTACCATGGCAGAGCAGGAAAATCAGGCAAATGTGCCAGTGTGCCAAAAAGTGATGAAGATGATGAACAAATAAAGTAATTTTGATGTAGAAACAGCATTTCAATCACAAGGTAGAAGGTGCAATTACTTTTTAGCAATCTGAAAGCTACATGTGAGGTTTCTTTAACCTGTTGTAAATGATTACTTTATAAGACAAGGACGTCAGGCTCATTAGAGTATTTTAGTATGTTTTTGTTCATTTTTGTGTGTTTTCCCATATAAACTGCAGTGGAAATGGGAAATTGCTGCAGTGAGAATACTTACAAAGACTAGAGAGAACATATTTCTTCCATGTTGGTGTATGTTCATTAGTTCCATGTTAAATCCAGAATTTAATTTAAAATCCTTCCCATCTCATGCAAAATCTTAAAATATTAGGAGCCATCTCATCTTAAAGACCTCATAGTACCATATCAACCAGGTAGAGCACTTCGCTCTCAGACTGCTGGTTTACCTGTGGATCCTTGGATATTTCAAAGTAGAAGCAGGGAGGCAGGGTGTTGAGCTTCCAGGCCCCTCTTCTGTGGAACCAGCTCCCAGTTTGGATTCAGGAGACAGACACCCTCTCTGCTTTTAAGATTCGGCTTAAGTGGTTTGTTATTTGATAAAGCACATAGTTATGGTTAGATCAGGTGACCCTGCATCCCCCTTTAGTTATATTGCAGTAGGCTTAGGCTGTTGGGGGCTTCCCATGATGCACTGAGTGTTTCTTGCTCACTCACTTTTTTCACTCTCTACATGTTTAGTTGTTACTAATCACTGCCTCTCTTCCACAGAATGTTTTTTGTCCTGTCTTCCTCCCCTGACCCAGGCAGATAGCCGCCCCTCCCTGAGCCTGGTTCTGCAGGAGGTCTCCTTCTATTAAACAGGAGTTTTTCCTTGCCACTGCCATCAAGTGTTTGCTCATAGGTGATCATGAGCAAACACTTGATGTTGAGGTTTTCTCTGTTTTCTCCATGTTTTTGTAGGGTCCTTATCTCACAATATAAAGTGCCTTGAGGCAACAGTTTTAGTGATTTGAAACCATGTAAATAAAACTGATTTGAATTTGAAAGGTCCTCAGTATGATATAAACGTAAACTCTACTATCAAACAGTTAATATTATTGTGTTGAAACAGATAAATAAATTAATATTTATGTATACATGTTTTTTTTTAAATCTTCGCCTCTATTTAATGTGATTAATAGTCAAATAATAATTTGGGCCTGGAAAAAATGGAAATCTAGACTATGTGTGTGTCAGTCTGTTCTTCGTCTCAGTTACAGAAACTTCAGTTTATTCAGCTAGAACGATAATAACCTTTCGCCACAGAGCCACTTTCATTTGGCCTGAAGCCCAGAGGTCTATTGTTAGGAAGAGAGAGGGGAGTGATCACACTGGCAGGTAGCGATGGCAGGCGCGTTACCTGAGGCAGTGAGACAGAGCAGCTTTTTCCGTCCAGCTGGCCATTGGCTACAACAATCTGTAACATCTCGCGTGAAGGCTACGCGGGAGCAAATGCTTTTATTTTAATGATAGTTTGGATTGTTTAAAATGGATTTCTTTGATCAAAACTTTTGTAAGGGCACACCAGCCGTGGTAATGTTTGGATAGGAGCGGATTAACTCTGGAAGTTTGGAGTTTGGACTACTTTTGTTTTTTCCTGGTGTCCGGAAAGTAAAACGCTGGCGTTCCTGTAAGGTTTCAAGGTTTCGTCGTCTTGGTGGTAATTGTAATTTACCGAAACGCCTTCTTTTTTTCTTTTTTTTTTACCCCAGCCAGCCACAGCCCCCTATCAAGGGAATGAGCGCAGAGGAACAGGACCGGCTGCGGTCCCTCTTTCACACCTACGATGTGGACAACTCCGGGCAGATCGAACGAAACGAGTTTCTCACAATCTGCGCAGAGCTACAGGTGTCAGCAGCCGAGGCTGACCGAATATTTGACCAGCTGGACGTCGACAAGGACGGCACTGTCACCCTGCAAGAGTTCATCAGCGGATTTCACGACCGCTACGAGGCGGACATGGAGTCAGAAGGAGGCGACCCGTCTGCTGCTTGGGAAGACTTTGAGAGCAGACTGAACGAGCAGGCCAAGTTCATCCCCAGGTGAGAGTGCACAGCTGTTCTCTGGCCGGTAAGGGCGATGGGTACAGACGGGCGGATGTGTTTAAAATATGGAAATGTTCAGGAGATATGAGTGCGTTCAACAGTGAGCGCGGTGTGCGTAAATGTGATAGTGACAATTAATCTTCACAGGGAAAATAGCACCTCTGAAGTAAAGCACACATCTAATTTAAAAAGGTGAACTCTGGGAAAGATCCAGAGCACATTTCAAAGTTTGCTGCTACAAAACGACGAATCCATTTCCATCCATGACTAAAATCATTATTAATAATATGAAAATGAGAGTGCGCCTGTGTGAAAATCTCTGGATGTTCACGTTTTTATTTTTTTGTTTTTTCCAGAATGCATGTAAGCTAAAGACAGGCATTAATGGTGACCCCCCTCACACACACAGGTGTATGGGAAGGCGCAAGCTGTGCAAATCACTCATGCTCTAACATAAAAGCAGACAAAGGGAGCAAACTCCAAACCATGTTTAACAATTGTGCCATTAATCCATAAATCAAAGTAATTCCTAACAAAAATTCAAAGTT